TAGTGGAACTAGTAGTCAGGTTTCAGTCGGAAGTTACATAGAGAAAGGTGCTACAGTACACACATGAAAGAGATTTCTAATCGTTATTTCAAAATCAAATAATCACGGGGAGTACGATCTGAGTAAAGAAGAGGGTATCCCTTCCGAGTTACCATTTCAATCTTGATTTTCTTGTTTACTAGCTTTTCCCACCCAACAGTTTACAAAATTGCCAAAAAACCCCTAGCCTCAGCATCATCACCGGAGACCACCAAGTAATTTAAAAATGAAAAGATTTCATGAAAAACTACTGAAAAATTGTTATTGTTAAATGTTAAGTAAGCAAAGGGAAGGCAAAAAAAATTAAATGTTTGCTTTTGTTTTAGGGGATGAGAAAGAGAAGTTGCTTGCAGTTAAGTTTTAATTAAATTCAACTTTCAGGCTTTGAATAAATATTTTTTGTATCTCATTCACAAAAAGAAAAAATCAATTAGACATTAATGAAAATTCCTTCAAATAATTTCAACAGCTTAAGAAGCAAAATCTTTTCAAATCGACTGCATGAAATCAGAAAAAAATAATAAAGTAAATTTTCTCAAGTTTAACTGAAAAATATAGAAAATGAGTTAACTGATTCACAGAAAAAAACATTCACGATTTACCTATTGGGAAAAAATGAAAATTGCTTGAAACGAAAAAAAAAAAAAAATAAAGTCACTAAAACAGCAAAATCGAAATTCTAGCTATTAATTAAAAAAAAAAACATTGCCAAATACCTTCCTTGTTAAATATATAATAAATACTTTGAAATTTTAGATGTGTTGCGGTTGCAAGATACTCGTAAAGTTTACTTACAATGGGCTCTAGTTGTTAATAACAAAAATGATATGCAAAGTTTCTGAAAATGTTAGCATGCCTTTAGAGTTCATGCCTTTTACCACCTTGATCTTTCTTTAACCACAATAATTAGAAAATTTCCATTTCCAGCACTAATTTCTAGTAATCATTCTTTTTAACATTCATTCCATGTGCACGCACACACACAGAGACACGTCTCTCATTCAGTTATTTAAATGCTTTCAGACCATAAAAAAAACTTGCGTTAACAAATAAAATGAAATTAAAAATTTTAGTTTTATATATTTATATATATATATATATATATATATATATATATATATATATATATATATATATATATATATATGTGTGTGTGTGTATTATTAAGTGACAAGTCTATCCAAATGCACGCAGACGTGAGTGCTGTTGAAAAGTTCTCGTCCCAACTAAGAAGCATTTTCAAAAGTGGGTCGGGCCGAAAATTTTTCAACATCGTGCGCGCGTGCACACAATCATGTTTGACGGAAAAAAAAGGCATTTATTAAAATTCATACAACATATTTATTTTTCGACATACTACCCTTCCTTGCCAGTGCACTTAAGTCTTCTTAACTGAATACTTTTCTCTTAATTAGAGAAAACATTAGAGTGAAACTTTCAGATCAAAATTCACCTACGTGTCAAGCTACCGATTTAAATGAACACTGAAAATAAAAATAAAATGTAAACACTAACAACCATATTAAAAAATTATAAAATAAAAAATAAATTCTATGGCAATGTTTCTATTTATTTAATTTTAATGGATATCTTTTTTTATAGTTTTCCTGCTAAAAATACGCATTTACAGGTTTTTCACTAAACCAGTAAAAATGAAAAAAAAGGTTTTGTGCTTCTTGCTTGTAAATTAAAAATGTGTGAAAATACTTTCAAGCAAGTTGAAAGGAACACAAACTCCAACTTTATTGTAATGATTGATTTACTTTTTTTAGTCAAGTGTTAGTTATGGGTTTACTTTTTAGTACCTATCGTTTCAATGGGGAAAATCTCAGTATTCATAAGTAAAAACAAAAAGAATAAATTGATTGTAGTGGAATTAATTCTGGAATTTTTCCTCGTATTATTTTTTAATTTTCTTTTTCATTTATTTACTGAATTGAATTAAGTAAAATTAGTAAGAACTAAAAAGTAATACAAAATAACTTTAGAAACATTTTTAAACAAAACATAATTTTTAATATTTAATAATTAAATAGTAAAAAAATACGTTTTAATTATTAAAACTTTTAAAGAAATCAAAATAACAGTTGGTTTTTGAAAATGTCAAACAAACAAAACCAAAGTAGTATTGGTGTAAAAAAAATTCATTTTCTTTTTTGTGTGAGTGATGTAAATTTTTATTTCAATTTACTCAGTAAAAAAAGTGACAAGAAAGTGCTATCATTGTTGTCAAAGTTGTAATGTGACAATTCACGATTTGCGTTACGGATGACAAGAAGAGGGGGATGTGGAAGTAGTCAGTCCGTAGCTGCTTAGAGAAAGGTGCTACAGACATCAAAGAGATCTAATCTCCATTTTAGGGAATATAAGGTGACTGGAAGAATGTATCCTTTCATTCATTGTTCCCTTACCACTTCCATTCTTGATTTTCTTGGTTACCAGATTTTCTCTACATTTTCCAACTCACCCTAAAGCATCGACACCTAAGATAAAACCTTCAATTTGAAAACCGTGGAATTTATTTTACAGGCAAATGTTTTTTAAAAAAAAATTAAAAGACAGTACAATTTCATTTTTTTTAAATGAATGACCAAAACCTGTGCTTTTAAACTAGATGGACGAATTATTTAAATTTTAAGTCTTTTATTTTTTTAAATATTACGCCAAAAACAAAATAATTGGTTCCTTCGGCTGTTTGTTGTAATGTTCAATAAATCACCAACTTGTTGATTATACTAAAAATGACCGACGGTCTTTCTAAATAAAAAAAACCTACTTTGAAGACGTTATTTTAAAAATAAATACATTCTGTGTTAGTGTTGCAATAATCAACACTTTCTTATTGACAACGAACATAGCAAATTGTGCTTCGCCAAAAGAATAAAATAGAAGATAAGTAATCTTTAAAATATTTTTTGCTTCTTTTTAACTTAACTGTAGTTAAAACTATTTGTGTTATAATTTTATTTAAATTTATTTATTCTAAAAAAAAAAAGAAAATATTTTGTTTGAAGTAATAAAACATGGTGCATACCATCATCATCATCATCATCAGTATTGTTTTCTTTTCAAAGTAAATAAGAAAAAAACATTTTGATTAATTTTATAATTTTAATTTGTAATGTCATGTCTAATTTTCTTACTAAATAATAAATATTCATTACAATTTTATTTAAGACACAGAACTTTTATTTAAATTTGAGAACTTGATTCTGGTTACTTTTCCACATTACTGCTACAGTCTTCTTGGACAATCTTGTTTTTAATTTTACTGAATTTTCAAATGCAACATGATTTTAGTTGTTACACATTAACATTTTAAAAAGCCGTAAATGTTCCAATTAGCATTTTTACTCAGCTGTAATAAGGTTTTTCAAAACTAAAACAATTCATTAAAGATAATTTTATTTAGAAAAATAATGTATGCAATAATTTTTTTTTTTTGTATATTTAAAAAAAAATAATTTTGAATTTTTGTTGAAATACAATTCAAGGAATTTTCCCATTCTGATTTCAAGTGCAAAATACCGAATAAATCAAACGTTTTACCGTGTTTACATTTAGTAAAAAAATACAAAAGAACATATTTTTGCAAAATTCTTTGAACAATATATATATGATCTTTTTAAATATGAAATCCTATGATAAAATTCCAACAAAGTATACTTACATGATATGATCAAGTTAATTTTTCCAAGGTGAGATAAAGTAGTAAGTAGCTGAAAGAGAATAAAATAACATTTTTTGTTTGAGGAATGTTGACAAACTCACCATAAACACTGCGTGTCACAGAGATAAAATTGATTTGTTTCTCAAATACTTACCAAAGTATTTTTTTCTCGTTTAGTGTTTTAAAAATAAAAGAAAAATGTTTAATCGAAAATAAGTAAACATTTTCAGGTAAGGAATTTGAAAATAAATCTAAACTAAAAAGTAAATAATTATGTTTGGGGATTAAATAACAATTAGAAGTAAAATGAAACCCAATTTTTTTTTCCAATTCTCTCCAAAGTTAGATATGTAAAATAATGTAAAAGCTTAACATTTCAGAAATAGCGGAGGTTGCAAATAAAAATTACTTAGAAATAATTTTAAAACGGTACATATTCTTTGGCAACATTTTTCCAATTTGAAATTGTGAAAATAACTTTTCATGCAGTAAACCTATCAAAACTACACGATTAAATTATTGGAAAGAATAGGGGTGAAAATCCTTAATTAAAGAGAAAAACTTAAATTAAAATTTCAATAGTTTTTTTTTTTGTTACGCGCACACACACACAGTATTGCGATGCAATTAACTTTTTCTTGGTGGTATCTTTGGTGAGTACTTCCCACCCTGCCCCTTTTTCCTTTCCGTCAGTCGGGTCGGTGAGTGTGGCCCTCTACCAGTGCCGTACTGATCTCTAACACATTTTCTTGCTAGCTGGTGAATTGCCTTCACACCTACGGATCAGTTACTATTACTTTGCGATTCTTACCACTGACTAAAAAACTCTTGCCTTTTCCAATGTGTTTTTACTTTCTATTATTAGTTTAAAATTTTATTCTCTATTCCCTCTTTGAAATATTTTTTTTTTCAATTTTATATTTATCTTTGTTGTTTGTTGAGATTTTTTTCTTTTTTTTTCTTTTTTTAAATATCTTTCACTTTCAGCTTTTTACAAATATTTTTTCGCTGTTTTATGCGAATTCTTTAACGAATTACCCAGTATATTGTAAAACGAAAATAAAATTCTACTACTAGTTTAATCATGAAGATAGATTTAACAAACGAAATGATAATAATAGTGCGCAACTGAAAGAAACAATATGATCATTTATGTCATAATGATAAAAGAAAAGGAGCTGTCCTTAAAAGCAACAACAATAATTATCCTGACTCTATTTTCTTTTTGTAATATGCTTTTTTTTCTATTCTAAGTTCTAGTTTGCCCGCTTTTTGTTGCTATTTGTGTCGATCAAAGTTCCTTATTTCTACCCTTCACCCGAATATGAAGGTTTTTCGTGCAGCGGGAGAAAATGGACAGGGGAAAAAGAATCGGGGAGTAGGCACACCCGCACATGGAGATTTCATAGATGTGATCTGAGCGGAGATGGCAAAATATTGAGAAAAGGGCGAGCAATAGATAAAGACTAAAAGAGTGGGTGAGAAAATAAACAGGAAAAATAAACACACAGACACAGTGAGCCTCCCCACCGCCTAAAAAAAAGTGAAAAAATGAAGAAGAGCAAATCTCAACTAACTAGAAGCAGAAATAGAAAAACTAAATTGAAAAAAAAAAAAAAGAAACTAATTGCGTGTGTGTAAGTATTTGCATGTGTAAGTGTGCTCGATCTGAATAGAAAGAAAGGCAGGGTGAGAAGTGAAAAGGACCGTGTGGGTAAAAAGAATAAAAATTAAAAAAAAAAGAAAAAAAAGAAAGAAAAACAGAAAGAGAAAGGGTTGGTTAAGTCGGTATGGTTCTTCTTTCTCACTTAAATGAGTTGGCTGGGCTTTGATTGAGGGACTAAAAAAAGAAAGAAGATGTAGGCAGGCCAATAGACTCAGTGGATGCTGCCTCTGCCGCCTCTTCTGCTGCTAGTGGTTCTGCTTTTGGCCACAACAACAATAACAACAGCACCAACCATCTGTCGTCACAGTCACAAGTACTTCCTCATCTTCATCAACATCCTCCTCCTCCTCCTCGCCGTCGTCATCATCGTGGCTGCTGCAGTCACCATTGCTGCTGGTGTCGGCACCGCTGGTGATGCTGCTGCTTATAGTGGTGTTACTACTACTTGCTGTTATTTTCTGATGTCTCTTCAAGCAGAGGAGAAGTCTCGGGCCAACTGACGACCGTTTTACTGGCCAAGGCACGGAGCCTTTCCTTATCTATTTTCATCACTGCATTTATTAAGAGGTACATAACGCACACACCATTAATATCATAATCATCATCAACCGACACACATCCTTTTTCTCTTTACTCTGTGTCGTTCTTTCTTACTTTCTAGCTACTGGCCTCCGTCAAAACTTCTCCATCTCTGGGGGGATAATGGTTACTATATGCGATGTCGCCTTTTTGCACTGACCACAAATACAGAATTATCGAAAGTTTCACCATTTTAAGTTTGGAAATATGTACACAATCAAAATATACAGAAGCAAGTTCTCAGTGCTGAGGTAAGTAAGTGTTGTCGTCTGTGAGTCAACCACTCTGGCTAAAACTGTGGTTTCTTTTATTAAGTTCCATGAGGATGTACACCGCTGGCTAAATAATGCTGTTTGATTTCATTTGCATCCAACAATGAATCTACAACTGGACGACAAGGATAATGCCAATAGCTCGCTTTGTTTAGTTTGCCTTCTGCTGTGAACGATACATAAAGAAGGTCGTCGTCCCGTATATATTTATACTTCGTTTTCCCGCTCTCAAGTTGCTGTTGTTGACAGTCTCGGGGAAACATTCTGATCTTGTGTCATCTCGTTGTTGAAAGTGGTGGGTATATCCCTAGGCCTTGGAAATTATTCCTGTCTGGTAGCTAACAACCACAACTTATGTTGATACTGGTGTGGTACTGCTCCTCCTTCTTCTTTAAAATCTCTTAACTTATAACATCTCCTCCTCTTCCTCCTCCTCCCATAGCCATATATTCAATTCATCTGCCCACTTCATATACGCAAAACATGCACTTCTTCTTCCTCTCCTTCAGTTCTCTAAACTGTCCATTTCGTTGTCATCTCTTGAAAATAATATTGTCGGACCGGACTGGTATATCTTCTTCCTTGCTGTTATTATCGATACGGTTCAAGCAGTCGTCACAAGTGAAGATTTTTGTAAATAATATATTATACACGTTTCATCTGTGATTGTCTCTCACTTTCTTTTTCTTTTACAACTTGATATTACTAGTGCCGCGATTTCATATTGCTAGGGTTGCTTCATTTTTTTTTTTAAGGTGAGATGAGTGCTTGCCTCTTGACCACTAAGCAGCCATTAGAATGACTGGGAAAAAGTCATTTTAGTATTTTTTTATGCTGTGCTTAGAGATCCATATGACTTTTCTTCTGCTGGAAATGATAATGAATGAGATGATGAACACAATACTAATTGGACTGACCAAATAAATAAAGTAAATAAATGTAGTAGCTAATAAAATAGTGTTTTCTTTCTCTCCAACAAAACGGAGAAAAAAGCATCAAATAAAAGTACCTCATGCAGGTTTTTCTCATTATTCATTGTCCATAATTTGGGGTAAAAATCCGTATCACGTTCTGTTTAGTGGTTAAAATATAATTACTTGAATGTTGTGTTTTGAACATGTGAATATGCGTGTGTATACATATGTGTGTAACATTGAATTAAGAGATTAAAAAATGAAACTAGAGACACTTGCACCCACTGGCATTACAATTTTTAAAATCTCAGAACATGGCTGTTTTTTTTTTTTTTTTTTTTTTTTTTCCCCGTGCAAGAATAGATTTTCTTTTTTTTCCGAAGCTAAGGAAACAGATCGCTGTTGCATATAAACGTTTATCACCATGTGCTATTATTAAATATAAAGGTTAGTAGTGCTTCGGTATGTCCAATGCCGACATTGGATTGTGAGTGTCCCGCCTGTGATGTTGGTATGATGCGGTCTGCCAAGGCTGCTCTCTGCTCTTTCTTCTTCTTCTTCTCCTCCTCCTCCCCTCTCCTCTTCCTCCTCCTACAGGCGAATGTGGTTGGTGCTCACCCTCCCCATCCGTCGCCACCACCAACCTTCACGTGCGCGGGTGGGTGCACGCGCGTGTATGTACCAGTCTTTGCACCTACTGCACCTTACACTCAAAAGAGGCACTCACGCATACTTAAAAAAAACGGATATTGCGCACACGGTACACATGGAAATTCAACACACAGCACTAACCACCTTCCTTATGTGTGCACTCCAATAAATTATAAAGGTATAAGAAAAATTTATTTACATACGTACGTACACTAAAGAAAGATTATAATTAGTAATAGTTTGCTTATATACACACACGCGCGTGCGCGCACATTATCACTGTCGGTGGCAGTAATACATATGCCATTTTTTCCTGAGACGTCATTATTTTTTTCCGAATAATACGATACACAAGATTACAATGACTCTGAAAAAGTAATAATAAAATGTAAAAACTATTATTAATTATTATTATCAGAAACATTAGAAATAAGCAGACATTAAATTCACGTGATGTGAGATTAAAAGTAAAACCTTCCTTTCAGTCCTTTTTCGTTAACATTCAACAAATTAAAATTGATTTTTTCTGTTAACTGCTCATCAGTTTTATCATCTTGTTTCTGATACAGATAATACCTTGTAGTTTTTGTCTTACATAGAAATGCTTTACTCATATAACAATAATAAGCAAATGACTTTTAGTCACATGATGAGAATATGCACATCAACAATAAATGACTGTCATTAAAAAACAGACACACACATACACACACAACTATAAAACCGCAATAAATCACTAACACGATTGTTTAACACACACACACACACGCATATCAGGTTATTCTTGAGTAATAATCATGATTGTGTACGTTGTGTAAACTTGACATGTCATCTCAACAAAAATTCAAATGCGAATTGAAAGTATAGCGATGTGTGTGTGTGTGTGCGCGCGCGCATGCGCGTCAAGGTGTGTGTTGGTGATTTCAACCCCGAACCTTTGCTAATGATTCCGTAGGCAGGTGCCTATGTATCTCCAACAGTTGTAGTGCGATTACTTAGAAGTTACCAATTCCATACCTCATTTTTTTCCTTCTTCATCACACGATCGTCAACTTATTTCTTCTTCTTCTTCTTCACCACCTCCTCTTCCTCATCATCATCATCATTCAACTACGGTATGTAAAAGATATTGATGAAGAAAGAAAAAAGATACTCATTATCCACCTCCTCCTTTTTTCGTTTTTGCTCGCTTTCTCTTGAAGTAATTTCTTCTCCTCCCTACACCTAGGTGGCCACCTCCTCCTCCTTCGTTAATTTCAACAGCAGCAGCAGCCGTGGTAGAATCAATGAGGAGGGAGTTGTGGAGTAGGTAGTGGTGGGTCCTCTTGTTTCTGCTTCCTTTTCTTCTTCATCAATTGCCTCCTCCTCCTGCTTCCTAAACTACTCCAACTATCACCCTACCCTAATCTTCATCTTCATCCACATCATGTAAGGTTTTCCGGTTACCAGAATAAGCCACTCCCAACTGCGAAGAACATGTGTCTTTTACATGTCAGAAGGTGTACGACGATCGCATAGCTATGGGCTTACCGAACGAATGGATGACTACTCACTTCAATATTCTAGACTATTTTCAGGTAGCAGGTAAACCCGCTTCGGTTATTACTCCGACCAATTGAGGCCCTTGAATAAGTCTTATACTCACCAGTGCTAGTCTGTTGTTTATTCTTCTGCTCTCAGTCACTTACTTAGCTATTTTCAGTGTGGTGAATATTTGTTGTTGTTGTTGGTGTTGTTGTTGTTGTTGAGAAAGGAAGAGATTGTAAAAGAATATGGAAGATGATGAAATTGGAAAAAAATGGTGATTTCATTTATTATTATATCTGTGATAAGCGAGAAAATCTTAAAATGAATGAAAAGAGAGAGACAGACAGAGAAAGAGTGCGCGTATGCGAGAGAGAAGGAGAGAGAGAAATCTTATTTTACCCAACCGTCTATCTCAGTTTATTTCCAAGGAATTACGAGAAATACAGCAAAATATTGACACCTTGAACAACATTGTAACACACGCAAAAGCGCGAACACACATGCATTAGCGTGCACACACACATAAACACACACACACACACATACACACACACACACGGTAGCACAGAAAGAAACGAATTGGATTTATTTATGCTTCAATTGTTTATTTATTTTTTTTAATTTTTGCTTATTTTTTTTTAAAATCCAACACGCACGAAAGAATGTGCTTGAAAACGACATCAACTTTCTTATTTCAATATGACGAGGAAATATTTTTAATTTTAATCCTTTTTTAATTTTATTGTAGAGACTAAGATTATTTTTTTAAAGATTTGATTTTTTTACCTGTGTTCTCTTTTTAAGCTATAGGGAAAAAGAGAAAGAAAAGAATAAAACTAAATTAAAAGTATGAGGCCATAAGGTATTTATCTTGTAATACGTTTTAATTTTTGTTTCATGTTGAAATACACAATATAGGTGCAGAATAATCATATATGTGCGTGTGTGCGTGTAGTCTATCAAAATGTGTGTAATTGTGTGTGAACGCGCACGGGTGCATTCACGCACACGCACCTTGTTTTCAATGTTACGAAAAATTGTAATTCTTTTTTTTAAGTTAAAATGAAAATAATTTTAATTTTGAAAACCTTGTTTTCTCACTAATTACTCAAAATTTTGTTGTCGCCGTTCATCGACACTAGTACATAATAACTTGCGGAAAATAGTTTTTTTAGTGAAACATTCTTGCTTGGTCCACTGTTTTTAAATGTTGTGTTATTGTATTTTACCTCCATACTACATGTATTTTTGTGTTTGTTTATATATGTTTGTGCGTGTGTACATTACCTGCCAAGTCAAAATAATGAAAAACAAAACACTGAATTGATAAATTATTTTTAAATAAAAAGCAGTTGTTTTAATTAATTTTTTCGTCTTGCAGTAATAAAATACATATTCATCAACAACTGTCATTAAAATTAATTACTTTATTTTCTTTTTTATTGCGTAAATTAAATATTTGACTTTAAATTTTTAGTTCTATTTTTAAAAGACGAAAATATGGTTACTATTTCTATATTTTCCTTCTATGGATTAAATATCCCTTTTTATAATTATCCCTTAATTAGTTTAATTTTATTTTATTTTATTTTTTATCCAAGTGTTTATCCTTAAAACAAAAATAACGAAATCAATCAGTTAATTTATTAGCTTTTATCCGGCAACGTTTCAAAATTTATAATTTACCGAAGAAGACTCTTAAATTAATTTAAAAATCCACATATAGGAATAATCCGTTTTACACGCAATTAAGTTGTTTTATGAAAACTCCCTCGGATACATTCAATAAAAAATATTGAAATGTCGTATTAAAGTACACTGAATTTTTATCCGTATATTTGTAAGGATTAAATAATTAATATTTTGAATTAAACTGAATTACTTGACGCGAACACAATTAAAAATGAAATTTTATGAACGTACTTTTTTCTCTCGAAAGATGCAGAAATAAATGTAGGCATAATTGAATGTTTATTTTAAAATTTTCGTGGGTAGTAGTTTTAAACTTGAATTATTAATTTAAAAGATTTGAGGGTTTTAAAAAATTTACAAATATATTTTTGAATAATAATATTTAGTTTTTCTACTTGATTAGTAGACTAAGAGTACTGGTCGTGAAGTTTCAAATTTTATAAGTTTTCTTCAGGAAAAAATATAACTTCAAGAATAAG